CGAGTTACAATAATCAATCCTAGATAAGACTAACGAAGTAACAAGAAGGAGAAGAGTAGGATCATCAAGAAAAGGCAAAAGTTTTTTTATTCTACGTAGATGAAAGTAAGAACTTCTAGCAACGCTATTAATCTGAGAAGAGAGAGACATAGTAGAATCAAAGATAAAACCTAGACTACGAAACTTATGAGAGACATCAAGAGTTTTAGAATCAGGTAAGATAATAGGAGAAATAGTAATTGAGTGTTTAGATTTATTAAAACAAATTAATTCAAACTTAGAAGGATTAAGTTTAAGACACATAGAATCAGACCAAGCGATAATCGAAGAAAGACATAGAGATAAATTATGAAGAACACTATTGAGATTAGATGGAGGAAAAGAAGTATAAATATAAGAATCATCAGCATATAGTTGACTAGAGAAAGAAAAGTTATTAATAATACGAGGTAGTTCAGAAGTATAGAGTATAAATAGAAGAGGGCCAAGGATAGAACCCTGAAGTACCCCGAAAGTAAGAGTAGAGGAGTTAGAAGTAGAATTATTGAGAACAACAGAAGAAAAACGATTACAGAGATAAGAAGAAAACCAAGATAGACAAGAATCAGTAATATTAAAAGAAAGATGCAGCAGTCTCAAGAGAATAGTATGGTCAACAGTATCAATTATCAGTATCAGCCTTGAATATGATCACACCAATTTTAAAGATTATCCTCTTATCAATCGTCAACCAGTGCAAATCATTCAAAATTGGCGTAACGTGGTTAAACTTCAATTTACCAGCAACCAACTTTGCATCTATATTTTGAACCGATTGCAGAATAGCAATAGATTTGTCAAGTATATTATTCAACAAGCTGTTACAGTAATCTAGCCGAGACAAACACATGCACCAAAGTTTCCAAGGTTGATCTGTCCTACCAGTGCTTAATTCTATATAAATTCCGGAGAAAAAAGTTGCATGAAACTGATATCATCTTTATATGATCCTTCATCAATAATCTATCAAGCAAACTCCCAATTTGCTGGCAGCATGAATGAACGGTATGTTAACATCATTTACTGTGATAGAATTTACATTTAATTTTACCAACTGCTGCCATGTGCCAGCCGTGCTGACATTTGTTTATCCGGGCGCCTCTGACGCTATGCATAAGCATGTCGTTATACAAATGACATTATTTTCTTTTAATTTGATTTTTATCTATAAAATCAAAAAAAAAAATTTATTTATCAACAAAAAAGCATTTCTTCTATTTTACACATTGACGTTTGCTGCTGGCATCTACAATTGAAAGTCTATATATGTTAATTCTTAAAAATTAAGATATATGTCTACTCCCCCTTTATTGTATATGTATACATGACCTCCCTTGGTCTTGAAGTAGTTTTCCCTTTCTATGGTTAAAACTAATGTTTTGTCATCTTTTTGTCTTTTAAAGTTTTATTGAAAAGTAAACTTACGGCTTAATTGTTTACGAATTGTTGGCGGTTCCGACTTTTATAATATAACACCCCAGCATGAGTCGTCTCGGTTCTTCGCAAGAGGAAATGTCGAATTTAGATGACTACAGGTTAAAATTCAAAATTGTGTTTCTCTCTGTCGGTAAAGCGTAAAATTAATTTCTTATTAAAAATAAATAAATGGTAAGGCAACCAAATTTTTTGCTAGTTTACTTCAGAACTTTGACATTTAATTTAAATTAGCAGGTCGCACAATTTTTCAAAAAAATTTTAAATTCCAACTTTTTGATTTAGGTACAAAAGACAAAAACTATCTCAAACATTAATTAATTACCTTAGTCACAAAGGGTTTGTGCTCAACTTTAATTCGGTAAAACGTGAGATCGGTACTCCTATGGTATCGTCCATGTTTACAAACTATCGCAATGTACTTTTGATAAATTGACTCCGCCCGTGTTGAATTGTCTAGCGCTTGATTATTTATTTATAACAAATTGAAAATAATTTAATACAAGTTAATTCTTAGGTAAGTTTTTTAGATCATTAGAAAATAGTGCACATTAAATAAAAAAATGTTGAAATATGAGTTAATTTACTATAATTCTTCTTCAACATAATCATCACTACAACCCACATCATTAATAACTATGAAACTTTCTATAAAACAAGTACATAGTCTTTTAATATTTTCAAGAAATGAAGGGTTAGGTGAAATAAATTTTGTAAATTTAAATGTAAATTCAATTTACCTTGGTTAAACTTAAAAGAATCTATCATTTATTTTATTTATGCTAAATGTTAGTAGAGTTTCATTTTTTAACTGTACTTTCCTTAGTAAAAGCCAGAGTTCTGGATGGAGTTTAAAAAAAACATGAAGCTTTTATTATTAATAAGTACTGCAGTATATCTTTTTTAACTTACTCTGAGGTAAATACTGCTGCATCTATTCATGAAAATTTACTAGGTTCATGGTAAAAAACTACGGCATACTTTTTTTAAAAAGTTGTTGGTAATTATTACAGCGTACAGTATAAAATGCTAGGTCCGCAGTAAGTATTTTAGCTTCTCTGGTGAAATATCCTAGGGGAATAGTCATAGTCTGAGAAGTAAGGTAAAATTGAATTGAAAATATATATTCAATATATCTAGTCATAAAGTTTTTATAAAAATTATATTATTGGTATAATATTACAAGCACTCCGAATTGTCCGCATAGAGATGCAACAATGTTCTTTAAAATACAAAAGTGGCTTGTTATACACATCAATTTGTTCTGTGAAATATTTGTCCAGCAGACCCAATTTTATTGTTTATGTTTTTTAAAATTTTTGAATGTTCGACTTTGCTAGATACATCGGGGTACATCGTTTATAAAAATATCAAAATTAAAATCTATATTTTATGAACAATATAAAGTATATCTATGAATGTTGGTCAAAACCTTACTTATCATTACTCATAAAATTTAATTCATTTTATTTGAATTTCTTTCTTTTCATGATAAAATTTTTTCTTTCTCATTGCAACAAGTTTAATTTTATGCATATGTTTTTTAATTCTAAAATTTTGTAACAATACTAATTGACAACATTAATGTGTTTTATTATTTTTTGTGGGGTTCCTTGGTATTTGGAATTTTGGTTTCTTTTGGAATCCTTTTTCATGTGTTTTCATGAAATAAACTTGTTTAAAAAGAAAAAAAAATTACAAAAATTTAAAAACTATTTTTTAATTCACTCACTTGACTTAGTGTTTGAAACACCTCAAAAATTTAAAGAACTTTTTTATAAAAGGTTTCAGTTTAATATAATATGCAAATGCTTTCAAAACTGAAGTAAAATCAGTTATGATTACGCTTTATTGGAAATATTAAAATTTTCCCTTGAATATATTTTACTTAAATGCATAAATAAATGTAAATGTAACATAGTATTAAATGATTTTTCATTTCTTTTGCTTTATTTCTTATAAAAGTATTTCAAATATGTGCATTTCTTTCATCTGACAATAGTTTTGTCACTGCAGTTTGAAGTAATTAGTGGTGTTTGTGGAGAAGGATTTGGTGTGATCTTAGAAACTCTTTTTGCTGTTCTGATTAGTTTTGAAGTGTTCAATTTTTGACCACATTTGTTCCAAATATTTTTTTATCAGAAAGTAAAAGTGTCAAACAATTTTTTCAAATTTTTATTTCAACTTTATTTTTTTTAAATGTCGAAAATAAATGTAATGATGTTAATGTTTCCCAACATTAAATATTTCAGATGCTTTATAAACCCAGAGTCAGTCAGTCCTCATCTTTTTTGTTCAATCTGTCAAGAAGTTTTTGTGGAACCTTATAGAGCTCCATGTGGCCACAGTTATTGTAAACATGTAAATTAGGATTCTTTCAATTATATTCATAATTGTAAAAAATATATGTAAATATGATCTTCATGCTAATGCAGTGTATAATGGAATGGCTGAAAAACAGTAATACCTGCCCAGAAGATCGAAAAAAGCTCACATTGAAAAACATGCATCATGATTTTATTCTTGAAAATATTATAGGAGATCAAAAAGTTAGATTTTCTTCTTCATAATTATTTGGAACTGAAAAAATTTAGTATTTCATTAAACTATTTGTGTATTACAGATAAGTTGAATTAACTCATTTTTTCTTGCATCCTATTCGGTTTAGCTAATAATTTTTACTTTGTACTAATAGATGTTATTCACTATTGACAATCAGGTTGGCTGTCCATATAGGGAACAGGGCTGCTGTAAAGTTTTAAATTTGTCTGCTCTTGGTTTACATTTAAAAGATTGCTCATTCAATCCTTTGAACATACCAGAATTTCTAAAAAAAGATTTGCATTCATTATCACCCAAGGATGCAGGTAACTTTTTTTATTCTATAGAAGTATAGATGGATAATTTTGTACGTTTTCTTTCAAGTTAGTTAAGTTTTTATTGTGACACAAAATTGTTTTACAGACTGTAATGACGAATCAAAGGTAGAAAACTACATTCCTCTGAAAATGAGATTGTTTCAAGCTGGTGGAGCAAAGAGAGAACATCTTGTGAAAGCTTTTTCCAAACAGCACAGTCCCAAATCCAAAATAAAAAAACTTATGCAGCTCATAGATGATGATTAAGTTATTTAAATTTAGAAATATTAATTAAAACGGAATAGCTTATATTTTAAATTTATTCTTGGAAATAAACTTTTTTTAATGTTTTTAATTATATTCCCAACAACATCGTAGACTGTAGCGCTGATAGTATTTATTATACACACCTCACTTCAAACAAATTTTCATGTATAAACGAAATTTTATTTCAAAGATATTACTACATGCTATTTGAAATATGAATGGCGACTTTTAATAATATATAAAACTTTCGAAAGTATTTTAAAATTTGGCACAGAAAAGGTAAAACAGAAAGTTCAAGAGTTATAGCGATTTATTTTAAAGATCGCTCTCCCCGTATAGCGCAGCTGAGAATGACCTGTAATCAAGGGCTCCTGGCTCTCCATCTCTGCCTCTGTAGGGAGCCATTCTTCTGATGCAGTACTCAGCTTGGTCGATGGGCAGCTCTCTTCTTAAAATCTCCACCGTTATGTAGTTCTGCATAGCATAATTCAAATTTCATTTATATGATTTTGAAAGATGCTAAAATGTAAGTTGTGCTTAAATTTTGCGCTTGTTAGAGCCCGCTTTTTCATAAAAAATAAACCGGTTAATATGAAACTGATGATACATACCTTATCTCCAGACAGCACTTTGAAAGACTGTATGACTTGTTCGGCTGATTCATTGTCCGATGCTTCTCTTGTCATAAAATCCAAGAAAGCTTCAAAAGTTACAAATCCAAAGTTGTTAGGATCGACTATGGACAGAATTCTGTGAAAATCTGCATCTCCCTAAAACAATGCATTGATAAAAACAACGGGCTAATTATACGGGAATTGAAATGGTATGTCATGTCAAACCTGTCTATCATCTTTGATATTGTATCCTAGAGCTATGAGACATGCTTTAAAGTCTTTGGAATCTAATCTTCTGCTTCGGGATTTGTCAAAGTGTAGAAAAGATCGTCTAAATTCTTCAAGTTGTTGATTTGTTATCCCTTTAGCATCTCTTGTAAGGATCTTTAAAAATCATAGCATTAGAGATTTATTAAAAAATTTTATTCACTTTTAAAGCGCACCTTTATACCTTTATTGATATATAGATTTGCGCGTAAATTAAACAAGTCTAAATTCAGACTGACTAATGTAATAAATTAATAAAATAACATTAAAGAGAACGAGTCTATGACTGCAATAGTAAAAATAAACGCGTTTCTGTTATTTAATTTTTAAAAACAGTGTCAATGTTATGAACAACCAACTTGGTTTTCGATTTCGTTGATGCTTCTGTTCACCAATGTCAACAGTTGCTCCCATCCAATGCGTAATGTCTAACATTTAAAAAAAGCTCAGATGTTATTTTATCATACTACACACGTGTAATACATGCGCGCGCGCACACACACACACACATGTATATATATATATATATATATATATATATATCATGTACGCTTATAGGCAATCGACCCTGGGAGGTAGAACCCCCAGTGTTCCTTCTAGGGTTACGAAAACTCCGGTTTGGATCACGCACATTTAATCAATTGAGATTTTTGTGCATATTAATTTTCTGTTCTATCATGCTTAAAATAAATAAAAAAATTTGTTTCGAACTCAAGAAACTTGACAATGATTTTCGATCTACCGTTAAAAAATCAAAAAGTTAAATAGAATGTTAACCAACGCGAACATGCTCTGATTTTCATCAATAATTTCATTTCTGACAGTCTAAATCCAATATATTATCTTTTTGTAAAGTAAGCTAAAAAAGTTAGTGGGTTCACACTCGAAAAATATATTATACTACACAGTTCAAAATGTAGGTCTAGTGCTATCAAGTATTAGACTAATCTGTTTTTGATATTCAGAATTACATATTTATTATAATTTGCCAAAGAGTATTTTTTAACGTCTTCAGTCATGTACCTACTTATGCCAGCATTTTGGCAATGAAACACTGAATCACATCATTCAGCAGAAATACAAATGCTGCGTCTTCAATGCATGTTTTGTTCCACTGATTAATTATTTTATCAATATACGAAATATTTACAAATGTAAGCTGATTCAAAACAGACGCCACTATTCAAGTTTATGCTAATGAAGTGCTTCAGGATTAAATTATTTGCCAAGCACTAACTTCCATCGTATAAGGTGTGTGCTTGTTATCATAAATTAGCGCTTCCTGGATATCATTGTTATAACGTTCTAATTCATCAATATTACTTCTGTAAGCATATACCTGTAAGGAAGGATTACATTAATTCATTGAAGAGAATTAAATAGTGAAAGAATTTTTAAAAAATTGCCGCAAAAGGTCTACAAAAACATCAATACAAAATTACAAATAATAACTTCTTTTTCAAAGTTTTTCAACTTGTTCAAATGATCTTCCAATTTTCCTTTTTGAAGGGCCACCGACGTAACAGCATCCAAATATCTCTCGATCCATTGTCCAACCTGATTTGCTTTCTGTGCAAATGCTCTTCTCAATCTAATAATTATAATATTATTAATATTAATAATATTATATAATATTATTTTGAGAGTTATATATATATATATATATATATAATATATATATATATACTGGTAAAAGACCATAATTAATGCAGTAATTTATGAAATCTACCGAATTTCAAGCGTTGAATAATTTTTAATTACATTTCTCAATATTTCTAACCAAGTTCTTGTATTATTTATTTTATTAAAGTTAGAGTAATATACAGTTTTCCAATTCGTTCTCGAGTGTGTAGGACCTATTTCGATTTTTCAATCAACTTCAGCACTTGTTGCAGTTTATATAGAGAATTTGTATAACCCAGAACTTTTTGCAACTTATATAGGGAATTTGTATTACCCAGGTTTTTGTTCATGTGATTTGCATATATTGTTATTATTGACTTTATTAATTTTACTACCAAAGGGCTGAAGATGATTGAAAAATCGAAATAGGTCATATACACTCGAGAATGAATGGGAATCTAACTTTAATAAATTAAATAATGACGACGAGAATTTGGTTAGAAATATTGAGAAATGTAATAAAAAACTATCTAACGCTAGTAATTCGGTAGATTTCATAAATTACTGCATATATATATATATATATATATATATATATATATATATATATATATATATATATATATATATATATATATATATATATATATTATTGATGAAAATCACAGCATGTTCGGCGTTAGTTAACTACCAATTTAATTTTTTGATTTTTCTAACGGTTGATCGTAAATCATTTTCAAGTTTCTTGAGTTCAAAACCAAAATTTCTGTTTATTTTATACATGATAGAACAAAAAAGCTTATTTCAGTATTCTGTACCATCTTCGGTGTTCAAATTGATATGTTGTGTATATGCCCAGATGCTCATTTATATATATATATATATATATATATATATATATATATATATATATATATATATATATATATATATATATATATATAACATTAACGCTCATTTAAATAGGTTTATAAATTTCAACTTCGTTTGATATAACACTTTTACGTGTTTTCATTATCGATGATTCCTCTGATTCTAAATTTATTGGTCGGAAGAATTCCAATTGTCCGTTGTTGAATATTTATTATCGGATGTCTTCGTTCTATGAGTATTTATTCGGCTACTCGTAAATTATAATGGTTGTTATCGTAATGTAAGATTTCAACATTGTGGTCGAAGATTTGTCTAGTAATTTTAATTTTGTGATTCTCTTTCATGTAATTCTTTTTAATCAATACTCAAAGTTGAAGATCGTAATAACTAATTACCCTATATTTCCGTCTTAACTTGCCTTTGTAGTTTTTTATTTAGTTATTTGATTTCTTTAAGTCACTTGGGCGTTTACAGCCTTTAGAGATCGTACCTAACTTATCTCCAAAATAAATTCTATATTTTATAATATAAGCTCATATAATAATTGGAATTCTCAATAACTTGTAGCCTATAACGTATATAACTCTTGCCTTCTTTTACAGTATTGCACAAAATTATCGAGAAACAAAAATATCAACAAAAATGCCTAACACCTTTCATTGTTTTGTTGCTTAACAAGTTCGTTTTGCAATGTATGATCGCGTTCAGGTATCAATTGCTTCAGTGACGTCCATCTCTTGTTGAGATCCTGACGATTTTTAAATGAATACTTTGTTGCAACAATGTCAAATATATTTAAAATTTTACTATACATTTGATAAACAATGTTAAAACGTGTGCACTATTTGACAGCTTACATTTCCAGTTATGTATGAGTAAGGGTTGTCCTGGGCTCCTGTGATTCCATATTGTTGAGCGATCCTGTTAACTTCATTAACAAGGCCAATAATTGAATTGAATTCACTTTCTGCTTCTCCTAACGTCAACTTGAATTGCTCATGCGAGTCACAGAGGCGCTATTGTTTGTATAATTAAAAATTAGAAATCAAAGTTAAGCAAAAAGCTAGTATTGCAAAACAAACCTGTATCTCTTCAATTGAGTGTACAATGAACATGTCAATGAGGTCCTCTCTAGTTCCATCCATCCAATTAGAGAATGGCTTTTTAGATTTCAATTTATACAAAAAAATAATTTTGACAAGTCTCAATCAATTAACTAAACAGTAATATGTTACTAGTTATAAATTACTAATATGACAAAAAAATGTTAAATAGATTAGACGGTAGTGATAAATACAAATCTTATCCTGCGTTGTTTATAAAATGAATTCAATTGCATCAAATTATAAGATGATGGTGGTAAACTCCACACGTAGAAGGTTCTCTCATCAAGCAATCAAAAAATGTTTGGCGGTTGGTGTTTTAGACATGCTAGACATCAAAAAGTGATGCCCTGATTGATCAGAAAAACGATGACAACGTCAGGACAGACAATAATTAATCGTCGACATTGTTTGACTTTGGGTCTATAGTAAACTTGAAAATTTGACCGTCATTGGCAATTCCTGATTTGAATTTGTTCAGGTTCAGCAGATAGACGCTATGGCAACTGAGAAAAAAGTCGTATGTGGCAAAAATACCAAATTACATGGTTGCATATTTTGATGAAACCAAAAATGTGAAGTTTGAAACCTTAAGTACACTAGTCTTTGCCGATGCTTACATATGATCAATTAAACCGCAAAATGCGACTTGTCTAAAGTCAACGAACTTCAGAGAATTTTTAAATTTTGAAGATACGAATACTCATATAAAAAAAACTGTTCATTCTTTTATCTGTATGTATGTTAATTAATTAATTAATTTATTTATTTACAGTTAAAAAAATATTTGAAAAACAAACCGCGGCTCTCCTAGCAAATTCCTGTTGCAGACGATCAATTTTTTCAAGTATATGTTCCGCTTCCTGTTACATTTATTAAATTTTACACTGCAAAATTGTTTATTCTTTTACAAATGGAATAAGTACTTAAATTTCAAGTACTATACAAATATGTATAGTGTAAATGTTGGAACTGCCTCCCGACCGTATCTCATTAAAATTCGTAAGCCATGCGATTTTCTGTACTGAGGCACGTCATAGTGTTTCAATTGGCAATTTTGCAGTTTTGAGACAGTTTTTTTACTGTGGAACCGTGGAACAAACTGGGAGATGAAATAATATGCGCACAAACAGCTAATAACTTTAAAGAAATTTTGGCAAAAAGAGAATATTAAAAAGTTTCAGAGTGGTCCTGTCACAGACTTCTTCGATCATTACAAATCCTTGTTATGTTATGTTAAAATTAAACAAATGTAGTCATCAAACTAGACAAATACTTACCATAACCTAAAAGCAATCAAGTAAAAGTTGGTGTCTAGGTTTCAAACCGTTACATTTGTTAAAAACTGTAAATATCTATTATTCCATTTATATTAATGCTACAATTATGCATATATATATATATATATATATATATATATATATATGTTGGTAATAGACCATAATTTTTACAATATTCTATAAATTCTACCGAATGTTTGGCGTTAATATGTTTGTAGTTCGTTTTTTCGATTTTTCTCACTAAATTTTTTGGTGAACGTTTAGTTTATTAAAATTCAAAATAAACTTATTTTTTGAATTCATGCTGCAAATAACGCATAAAAAGAATCATCCTATCCGACCAATTATTAGCCAAATTACAACTGTCACCTACCCTGTTGCAAAATTCTTGAACAAAATTTTAACCCTATATATTCCAAACAATTACACACTACAATCTTCCCGTGGGTTTATTAACCTCCTCGGCATTAATAAACCATCCAAATTTATTGCCTCTCTGGATGTTGAATCATTATTCACAAATGTACCAATTCATGATACAATTGACATAATTATCAACACCGTTTACCACTCAGATATGTTTCCATTGAACATACCGAAAGCACAACTGAAGTCCCTTCTTCAAATTTGCACTACTGAAGCACCATTCCACAGCCCCACAGGCAAACTTTACAAGCAAATCGATGGTGTCGCTATGGGTTCCTATTTGCCAGTTTTTACCTAGGACAGCTGGAGAATGAAACATTCAAAAACAATGCAAATTTAAAACCAAATATCTACGCCAGATACGTGGATAATATCTTTGTCTCCTATAACGATCCTGAACAAATCACCCAACTTCTTGGTACCTTAAACAAATCAGAACTTAGATTTACCATTGAAAGTGAAAAGGAACAACGTTTACCTTTCCTCGATGTGTTGGTCACCCGTGGCGAAGAACGATTCAAAACCGCGGTCTATGTCAAAGAAACGAATACAGGAATTTGTTTGAATGGACAAAGTGAATGCACTGAACAATTTAAAGACAGCACAATAAAATCATTTGTGAACCGGGCATTCACACAACTCTTCCGATATTGAAAATCGCGACGCTGAATTAAAGAGAGTCACTAACCTGCTTGTAAACAATGGATATAAGACTTACTCTATTGAAAAGATTGTTAAAGGCAAATTACTACACAGCAATAACCTTCCTAGTACCAACAATCAAGATAACGACATCATCTTGTATTACAGAAATCACATGTCAACAGCATACAAGGTAGATGAAGCTATTCTTAAACATATCATCAATAAAAATGTCACACCAACCAACCCAAATAGTAAAGTTAAACTCCGAATTTATTACAACAATAAAAAGACGTCTCACCTAATACTGAAAAACAACTGCAGTCCTAGAGATAACTCTGAGTTAAAGCGTAATCACTTAATATATGAATTTAATTGCCCCTTTGACGGCTGTGCACGTCAACATGACTCATACACCGGGATTACTACTACCTCACTGACTAGAAGGCTTACGATGCATAAACAGAGTGGTGCTATCAAATCTCATTTGGACTCAACACACTTAATCACAATTAGCCGTGAAATACTCAACAGCAACACCAAAGTAATATACCAGAACAGCAACTACACGCATCTTAAAATTGCAGAAGCAGTCCTAATCGACATCAATAAACCAAAAATAAATATACAACAAAAAATGACAACCTCACTTCCAACCCGGCGCTTAACCAACAACGAAAACAAAGAAGTAATAAAAACTAGCATCGTAAATAGTGACAAAGAAGAATATGATGCTATCGATGAAGAAAAGGAGACCAAAGAAGATGACCAGCCAATTAAGAAACCTGACACCTAATTCGCATCAAAGTTCAATTTTACAACACCAAAGTTAATTTTTAAAACGTCAAAGTTCATCTTGACAAAGTCAATATTTCCCTATATATACAGCAAGGAGCACTGAAGATGGTTCATTCGGAATCGAAATATGGCC